ATGAACTGATTTTGATATTAGTATATCAATAAGACTCATTCCAGAAATCTGTGAATTCCACATCCTTTCCATTCCAGGGTAATGTAGCCATTCTATTGACATAGCCATTCTCCTGCTGGGAAAATATTCACAAGAAATTTTTTTAAAATTTTCTGTACCTTTTTAAAATCACTGCAGACACGTTTTTAGGCTTGCAATCATATTCCATCTGCAATTAAAACAGCATGCCAAATTTAGCATCATATTTGAAACAGACCCTAATGCCATTTTAACTTTGTTCCCAAGATAATTTGGGAAATACACATCTACCCTTTTAAATAATTTTTTTTTGTCTGTTACAGAAAACTCAAGAAGTTAGTTCACAATAAGTAAAAGGCATAGCATTTTCCCACCCAGCAAACACAGACAGTAATGCAGGCTAGCAGCTTTGAAATTTTTCTAAAGCAACTCTACTGGAAAAGAGTGGTATAAAAGAATGATTTATTACTATTCTCATCCAGTCTCATGTAGTGCTGAGGCCAAGCAGTAATACTATAAAACAAAACTTTTCTTTTGCAAAATGCACATACACCCTAGGAGGCTGTTAGAGCTCTGATCAGCAGTTATTATCTCTGTACCAGACCTGATGAAATGAACAGTTTTGACAAAAGACAAATAAGTAGCCACCACACTCTCGCGATTCAGAAATCTGACGGGAACCCGAAAACCCAACAAGCCATACTTTTGACTCTGTTGATTGTTCAGATCTCAGAACAAAACACACTTACAATATAATCTATGAGTCACTGAGGAATTTAATGAGAAAGAGTTTTGAAAAGATGAAACTAAACAAAAAAAATTCAAATCTGTGAGATATAGTTTCTGCTGATCTTTGTTGGTGATCTTCAAGAAGGTTCTTGATTTTCCTTTCATTTCTTCAAAGACATGTTAGTCATTAAGTAGTATGTTATTTAACTCCACAGCATTGTTAATTTCCTTTTTCTTCCTGCTATTGATTTTGTTTTGTGGATTTTTGTTTAAGGAGGCGCACAATAACTGTGTAATGGAGACTATCATATCTAGTAGCATGTTATTTAACTTCATGGCATTGTAGATTTCTGTTTTTCTTCTTGTTGATTTTGTATTGTGGCTTTTCATTTAAGGGGATGTATAGTAACTGTGTAATGGAGACTATCATATCCAGGTGTGAAGATACAATGCAGTATGCATCTCTACTTCCAGACCAAAGAAGGACTCCCAATGAAACTGTTAACTATATCTTGACAATATGATGCTGGACTCTCTGCCATTGTCCATGCCCTCAGTGATGAACATAAGACTGTGTATGAAAAACTACACTATAGTAATGACATAGGGGAACTCAGTGAGGGGGGAGGGAGTTGAGGAGAGGGCAAGGGAAGTCCCAGGGCCTATGGAACTGTATCATAAAATGATAATAATAATAATAAAGTAAAATTAAAAGAAATGCATAATGGGCCCAGTGTGGTGGTCTAGTGGCTAAAGTCCTCACCTTGAATTCGCCAGGATCCCATATGGGCACCGCTTCTAATCCCGACTGCTCCACTTCCCATCCAGCTCACTGCTTGTGGCCTGGGAATGCAGTCGAGGATGGTCCAAAGCTTTGGGATCCTGTACCTGTGTGGGAGACCTGGAGGAGGCTCCTGGTTCCTGGCTTCAGATTGGCTCAGCTCCAGTAGTTGCAGTCACTTGGTGAGTGAATCATCAGATGGAAGATCTTCCTCCCTGTCTCTCGTCCTCTCCATATATCAGACTTTGCAATGAAAATAAATAAATCTTAAAAAAAAATACATAAGAAAAAGAAACACACAATAACAAATTGAAAGCCACTCTTGGTCATAAAATTTCTAAAATTCAGAAACATTAATAATGAAGTCATAAGCTTCTGCTCACCGCTTGACCTCACTGAAGCTCCTGAGAAAATAACCTAAGGGAGGGTCAGCTGGAAGAGATGACGTGCTTTGTCCCATTTTGGCAACAAGAAAAACAGGCAACACAGAATGAAACACAAACATCAGATAGATTTTGACACAAAACAACATCAAAACATCTCTTAACCACTGGCAACAAATAACCAGAACCAGCATCTAAGGTGACATCTCAACCCAAGACTTTGCTTGCAGAAGCTGTGGCTGCATCCAGCCGAATGACAACCCCCGAAGGGTCCATCCCCAGGCAGATGAAATTGGCAAGACCCAATTTCCATTCACTGGTGCAGTTCCCAGATGACTGCCTCAGTTTATTTTTGCCCCACACCTGATTAAGAAGGCATATGACAGTCTTGAAGATTTCTCAGTAGGCAGCAAGAGTAACGTAATGCTTCTGAAGCAAAATCTGGGTTCCATGAACCTTGAATCAAGTTTTTGTCAGTCAGTCATTTCATTTCCTCTGGGCCTGCCCACTACTCAAGGAAGCTGCAGTATTCATGAAGATGCTTTCCAGTGAGCTTACCTTGGTTTGACTTACAGATACCTTTGAGATTCCAATAAAGCTTAGTGTCAGATCTTCCAAGTTTATATAATTATGGAATTAGTCTTATGAGTCCCAAACTTAGTAAAGCATAGATACTAGAGCTTTTTGTGATGTGATTGAGAAGCCTGATGTGGAATTAACATTCTCCTTTTCACGTATGTGGGCTCTCTGTAAACGTCTAGATACACATTTTACATCATTAGCTTAGCAACATGGTGGCCTCCAGTCCACTAGGAATGGGCTACAACACATTCCAAGTGAGTGGATTCCAAAAAATGAGATCACAGCAAAATAATACAATAGATTTGGAAGGTGGGGCAGGCATATGGTGACAATTTGAATCTTTTGGAGTCAGAGGGCTCCAACCAGGAAAAGTCATGGAAATTCAGACACTGTACATAAGGTGCTCCAGGTTGTAGGAGAGATGCTGTGTCCATACGTGAAACCCATCCTCCTCCCTCCTTTACCCAACCATAGGTATGGGACATTCAAGAACCTTTACTAAGAGGGCATTTCATGGTGGTTGTAGGCACCAAAGTGGGGTGATAATCATTTTTGCTTTCTATCTCTTCATCAAAATGAACATTTGGATGAAGAAACTTGTCCAAATATTGAATGACATGGTCTCACTGATATTGAGTAGAGGGAAGCTAGTGAACTCTGAGTGGGTTTTTTTTTTTTTTTGCAAGAGGATGTAAAGGACTCTACAATGGGGGATATTTGTCCTCCTGACCTCTGAGACTGTGTTGTTGGGGGGGTGGAGGGAGCTTAAGTACCACAACTTATTCTCCTGTCCTGTGGCAGTTAGGTACACATGCCTGCCATTCAGAGATGTGAAGTGTGCGCTGACAACCGTGTGTGTGTGAAGATTAACAAGTTCTTGTCTTGATGTGGGACATGGTTAGGGTTACTGGAATGCTGTCAGAAACGTCATGTTAGACTAACAGATGCCTTCATTGTTATTTAAAAAAAACATATTAAAACAAAAAAATAGTCTATTGGTCTGGAACTCATCCATTTGTAGACCTGTTGAGGGTTCAATCTATTTCTAGTTTACAATTGCCTTTTTTACTATAAAGCATAAGATTTAATTAAAGGGGAACATTGACTTAAATCCAATAATTGCTAAATGAGTAGATAATTAACAGCTTTTAGACAAAGTGCGATTCTTGGTAAATAAATAAACACTGCTGTCAAATTGTACCTGTTGAGAGGAGAATCAAAACATTATCAGCAGCCTTGTTAGGGAGCATGGAGAAAAAAAGGAAATTCTAGCTAACGGATTCCTATAGATGTAGGAACATTTAAATTAGCAAGAAAGAGCATATTCCACTTTAAGATTGCAGTGTGGGGAGTGCACTGAACAAGTCAGCAAGGTCAGTGCCACCACCCCAGTAGAGTGGTTAGCAGAGCCACACTGATGGCACTATGGCCTATTAGGGTACAAAGTTTGAGAAACCTGATCTATCTTTCCTAAACTGGACACTTAGTCAATTCTACCATTTTTTTCAGCTCAAGGTGTTTGGCACCTTTTATCTGCCTAGTGATGTTGCTTGCCAAGCTTTTGCTGGAGCTGCTTCATGCCTAATTTGGTTTAGTCATGAAGATCAGTTTGGCAGAGAGTTGGCTTATATCAACAATTCATTATCCAGGCAAAGTCCCTGAGGTCCCTATCCAATCACACCGTTGCTCCCTGCCCTCTGACTGTGACTGCTGGCAGCAGGACTGGTCTGATTATTGGTTAGCCTTTCATTGTCTAGGCCCCAGTTTGGTGGAATAGTGGCTTCAAAGAATGTTTCTTTTTTTTTTTTTCCCCAGATGAGTCAGATTGCATGAGTTTCCACATGGATCCATTGCTTTGTAGTTCTGTGACCTCTGCCAAACCATGGAATCTCAGCAACCCATGTGTGAGATGTGGATGACACTCTGACTACTGCAAGGTGCATGCTAGCTGCTCCGTGGAAAGCACTCGTACAACGTCTGTTTGTCCCAAGTCTCTAATAAATCCCAGTAAACACTGGTCTTATTTTCCCAAAGGACCATTGACCATGAAGCTTATGTTTTCCTGTTTCTACAAAGACCTATAAATTCATTTCTATCTATTAACTTAGAGATGGTGGTTATTTGGATTGTCTTCAAAAATGTTTATTTGCAATTGTAAGCTCCACCACTCAAAATAATATGTAACCCCACTGATGTGTGTATTATGTTGATTCTTAAGACCCATTATATGCATGTGTGAAACTGAAACTTAGAAAAGCAGAACTTGGACATTCTTGCCAAAAGGAAGTGAACTGGAAGGAAGAAGAGCAGAATCTTTGTGGAGAAAATTGTCCTATCTCTCAACCAGTGTCAGAATGTGGAAATGTTTACAAAATGCTCATTAAAAGAAAAAGGGATCGCAAGATAGAAACAAAATCTGGTGCACAAGTTTACACTAGGGAGATAAGAAAGGCTAGGCCCCTATAGGGGATTTTGTTATCCAATTATTGCAACCTGACTTTCAGCAGGGAAGCGTGGTTGGGGGAGGGCGAGAGAGGGGGAAGAGTTTCCAAACTTGTCTCCAGTGACACGAGACATTTACGCTCTGCAAGATAAAACTGCCACTTACAGCCCAGGAGAGCTAAACCGTCCTGTGTTCGCCTAGAGGCTTGAGCAGAGTCATGGATTCTCTGGGGCTGGGGCTGTATGCCGTCTTCTGCCTACTAGCTCACTCTGCTTCTGGCAGTCCCATCATGGGCCTTGAACAATCGGCTCTGGAGGAGGACATGCCTCTCTTTGACGATGTCTTCTCAGAGCAAGATGGGGTTGACTTTAACACACTGCTCCAGAGCATGAAGGATGAGTTTCTTAAGACATTGAACTTGTCTGACATCCCAACACAGGATTCAGCCAAGGTGGACCCACCAGAGTACATGCTGGAACTCTACAACAAGTTTGCTACAGATCGGACCTCTATGCCCTCAGCCAACATCATTAGGAGTTTCAAGAATGAAGGTAGGTGTATGTTTTCCAGATGAAATCTGGCTTGGATTTTGTTCAAGGGGTAGTACACAAATGCAAACTTCCTGTGAGTGATGGGGATAAGGGTGACTGAAGAATGTGTACACAAAGATATGCAAAACAATGCACATTTTGATGTTTATTTACGTGATCATTTCAGAATCCCAGAGGATAGTTATAAACATCTTTTAATCTGAAGTCACAATGCTTCTATTATTTTGACCTCATGACTGAATCTTTCTAAAACTTTAATTTCGACATCAAGTAGTAGAAAATAAAGCATATTGGTCTTCTGCTCTATCTGTGATTTTCCAGATGAGCTCCAATTTGCACGATGGTTTTTTATTTGTCTGCAAAACCAATCAGTTTCTACTTAGGAAGAAAAATGATAGAAACAGTCAAAATGTAAATCCGATGTTTGTGTTTCATCCAAATTTTGGATGACTTTCTACTTTGTGGATGACTTTCTACTTTGTGACGTTAAAAATATTGAAACAAGATGAAAAGATATTTTTGAGATTTTTTTTAAGTTGTGTTGTACTTGATGTGTCATAGACATTCTTAGGATACTGTTTACAGTTTCCAGGAAGTGTGCGCAGCCTAATTACAAAGGATCATTTCTGTATCTTTATAAGATGCAATGTATGAGCTTTAAACTATTGGTAGAAAATATGTTTTCTCCTTTTGGATAATTATATTCAGTAGCTAAATCTAATGAGCTTGGAGGTTAATCTTTTGTTTAATGCTGTATTAGAAGCCCGCCCCCAAATAAAAAATCTAGTATCTGTAGTGGAGACTATGGGTCCAAAGAAACCAATTCTTTAATACTTGCCAGTTATGCTTTTAGATCCACTAAGTAGCTATGAAAGTGGTTTTTTTGTGTGTGTTGTTTTGCTTTTGTGTTTTACTTAATGTTGGCCAGAAGTCATTATAATTAAAGGGTCTATGGCAAAGATATAATGCAGGCTTTGGAATTTTGAGAGCTAGCTGACCTAGCAGTTGTGGATTAATTCATTCCACTGAGCCTCAATTTCCCCATTCATAGAGTGATGATTATTGTACCTATGGATTTCAGCTGAGTGGCTCAAGAGATGGCTGTGAGTAAGAATGCACTCCATTTGCTATGAAGTGTTGACCAAATTTTGGTGACCATTAGCAGGCTACCTAATTTTTAGGTATTGAAGTAAGTGTTGAATAGCTATTCCTTAGTTTCTAAGGTAGTATGTGACTTCAAAATTTCATTGACTAAGAATAGGCCTTTAGCCTAGTGGTGAAGATGTTCACATCCTGTACTGGAGTGCCTGAGTCTAATTGCCAGAACATGATTATAAACTGCTTGGTATGTGGAACTTGTCAACAACCACTATGTCTCTTTCTTGGAAAATACAATTTCTGTCCTTTACTTATTGTCTTTGTACATGCACAGACTTGCACAGGGTATTTATTTAAATGTAATTAAGATATAAATGAGAATCCAAAAACCCCCATACTTATAATAATTGTCTGCTTTGACAGTTTTTGACAAATGTGACCATCCACTGAACTCACCCCCTAATCAAAACAGTGAATGTGCCCATGACCACCAAAACTTTTCTGGTTTGCCACTATAATTTCTTCCTCTTGTTACAGTGAAGTTTTTTCTCTTTTTAGAATAGATTTTAGTGTATACATTCAAAGTGTACAATATGATACTGTAGGATATATAAGGACAATAAGATAATATAAAAAAGTATAATAGCAAAGCATTAATATGTCTACCAAGTCACAATTAAGTTTTAAAAGCAAGAGCATCAAACATTCACTTATTCAACAACATCCATGGCATAATTTCATTATATACAATTTTTGTATTGTACTAGTATTTCCACGTGGTCATCCCAAGTGAATTTTCCCCTGCATTTTCCTCATGCCTAGAGTAGTGCGCTACTCTCTCATTCTCATCTATTCGCTCATATTTCCTGTCCAGATGCTGTCAAACTTTTTGTTTTAGAGTGAGGGGGCAAATTTTAGGTTCATTTATTTCTTATCCAAGTGCTGTATGAGATATGAAAAACATGTGCGATGTTCACAGGTTTGATCTGATGTCCAAAATTATCAACTAGCCAACATTGTAAGGCACTGCCTGTATTCAAGGAATCATGGAAAGAGGGGTATGGAAGGTGGATTGGGCAATGGTAATTGCCACTATCCTTATGCCACTGGAATAGTATCAGGACAATTGGGATGATCTACTTACAAATAGGCGATTACAATGGAAAGATGTAAATGACAAGGACCAAATGATATGCCTAGACACTGTGTGCTCCAGTGACTCAGACAGGTGTGAACTTCAGATAAAGAGATGATGCTACAGAAAGAAGTCACAACTGGGTAGGCAAAGGTGGCGTGAGGGGGTTTTCCAAGGTCATAGGACGTACATAAAAGTTAAAATTGTAGAAAATTGGAATGAAGATATCAGTTTACCTGAAACATCAGGGCTTACAAGTTGATTCAATTGATTAAAAAATATAAATTGAGAATTGCAATGTTCCATGCACTGTGGAGGATGAATGGAAGCTACTATTGGACCAGGAGGTGATTTAAACAACACAGGAGGATGTGTAAATGTTATATGCAAATTCTATACCCTTTTATATAAGGAATTTGAGCACCTGCAGATGTTGTCATCAGAGAGTCCTGGACCCAATCCCTGTAGATACAACTGGAAACCCAAGGAGCAAATCATTATAAAACAACCAGAAATACAAATATTGAAAGAGTGCATTATGAACCAGGCTCCACTGAAACGATGACTTGGGTATACAATTAAGAACATGCTACCAAAGATGACTGAGGACTCCTCACTTGGAGGTCCTTAGCATCTTTAATGTTCTGGAATTCTTTGAAAATCTCGTGACAAATACTCTTGGGATTCCTTGTAGGTACATAATACCTGAGGCAAAGATACTCTCAGACAGGAAGTAACCTAATGGTGTTTGGATGTGTACATCTTATGGTTAGAGAACTTTAGAAAAATTGTATCATAAACATTCTCAAGTTATTTGCAAACTTGAGTATGTACCAAAGTATGTACCAAACTTGTGCCAGATGCTAGGGGCACAAAGCAAATGGAACCAAGTTCTCGCTAAGAATCATTTTCTTTCATTCTGAATCACAGGCATCCATACTACCCAAACCAAACATCATGGGTGTATTAGTTGATGAATATTATATTATCTTTGTCAGGAATTGCTGATAAAGTAGAGGTCAGCAAACTCTTTCTGTCAAGGGCTAGATAGATAGTAAATAGTTGAGGCTTTACTAGCCATAGGGTCTTTGTTGTGACTTCCTCTGCCACTGTGGTGGAGAAGTAGCTGCAGAAAATACAGAAGCAAATGAATAAGACGGCTCCATGAAGACTTTAAATAGATGGCAAATCCAATTTGCTCTATAGTTTACCAACCCACATTTTTTTTTTAATTTTTAAGATGATTTTATTTCATTTGAAAGGCAGAGTTACAGAGGGAGAGAGAGAGCATGCTTCCATCTGCTGTTTTATTTCACAAGTGGCTGCAATGGCCATAACTAAGTTGATCCAAAGTCATGAGCCAGGAGCTTCATCTGGATCTCCTAAATGAGTGCTGGGACCCAAGAACTTGAGACATCCTTCACTGTTTTCCAGGCTGCAAGCAGACTAACCCCCAATTTTAATGGAAATCTTTCAGGAGACAAACATTCGACCAACTGCATGAAAATTTCCACCCCTATAAGTACAAACACTAAAAGCCTTCCTGTCCTCATTCACCAAAAAGGAAAGATCAGTACACATCCCATTTCATGGTTGTTTACTGGTTAGAAAAACTTGAAACTTGTTCACACAACCTCCAATGGCCTCTTTAGTTCTAAAAGATACAGATTTTAGGATACTCAAAGATAGTAAGTTTTGTCCCATATATCAGGCAGCCATCTCTCTATCAAGCATCTTGCATGGGCAAATCTTATTTACAGAAATGTAAGCATCTGTTACAAATCTTGTCTTTGCAAATCTTTTTGTTTCAGATATGTTTTCCCAACCAGCTAGTTTTCACGGACTCCGAAAATACCCTCTTCTCTTCAATGTGTCCATCCCTCACCATGAAGAAGTCATTATGGCTGAACTCAGATTGTACACACTGGTGCAAAGAGATCGGCTAATATATGAGGGAGTGGACCGCAAAATTACCATCTTTGAAGTTCTAGAGGATGAAGGAGACAACAGTGGTGAAAGAAGCCTGTTGGTCTTAGTGTCAGGGGAAATCTATGGAGTCAACAGTGAATGGGAGACTTTTGATGTCACGGATGCCATTCGACGTTGGCAAAAATCTGGCTCATCCACACACCAGTTGGAGGTCCACATTGAGAGTAGGCACAATGAAGCTGAGGACATCAATAGGGGACAGCTGGAAATAGACACCAGTGCCCAGAATAAGCATGATCCTTTGCTTGTTGTGTTTTCTGATGACCAAAGCAGTGACAAGGAGCAGAAGGAAGAATTGAATGAAATGATTGCTCATGAGCAACTTCCAGAGCTGGACAACTTGGATGGCTACTCCAGGGGACCTGGCGAAGAGGCGTTGCTGCAGATGAGGTCAAACATCATCTATGACTCCACTGCTCGAATTCGCAGGAACGCCAAAGGCAACTACTGCAAGAGGACCCCGCTCTACATTGACTTCAAAGAGATTGGATGGGACTCTTGGATCATTGCTCCGCCTGGTTATGAAGCCTATGAATGTCGTGGTGTTTGCAATTACCCCTTGGCAGAGCATCTCACACCTACCAAGCATGCAATTATCCAGGCCTTGGTCCACCTCAAGAACTCCCAGAAGGCTTCCAAAGCTTGCTGTGTGCCCACAAAGCTCGAGCCCATCTCCATCCTCTATTTAGACAAAGGTGTAGTCACCTATAAGTTCAAATATGAAGGCATGGCTGTCTCTGAGTGTGGCTGTAGATAGAAGAGGGTTGTGACATATTTAATTACTGTAAATGTGTATATTTTGTGTCCTATTTAATGAGACTATTTAATGAGGGTGTACAGATGACAGGGCTTGCTGCCTTAGAAAGTGGACAGGTAGATTTGTTGTAGGAAACATGTATTTTGTGTTACAGTCTAGTCCTTTCTAATCTGTTTTTGTTTGGACTAGCCATTTCCTGGCAATGCCCTGGCTAATGACAAATGTCCTCACTACTTATCCTCCACATCAACTTGGAAATAGTGACCCCTAAGCAAAATTCAGGATCAAATAACACATTTTTATGTGTGAATCTTAGCATAACAATGCATTCATGAGCATCTTTTGGTTTCATAGAGGCAGGATACACTCATATTTATGACTCCACTAATGTGTATATATTAAAAGTCAATGGAATTTTCTCAATCATCTCTTCTCTGGGTACGATTTGTGTTAGTCTTTTGTGCCAGGAAGTTAACCACCCTAGGAAACTGCATTTCCTACTTATTCTGGGAATGTAAATGTAGGTTTTGTCCTTTGAGTTTCTGGCGTTGCCCCTTGCAGCTGGTCTAGTGAACTGCATGTTAGACACAGAGATCAAGTGACTTCAGGGAGCAATGGTCCTAGAGGTAAAATAGTAAAGAGTGATCCTCCAGAGACCCGTGGGTTATTGAGGACAGTGCCTGGTCAAGAAAGGAAAAGAGAGGGGACTTCAGAATGAAATCTCTACCTGGGAATTCAGGTAGCCAGGCCATGAGGATCAGCAGAGGGTACAGGAGGTGGGAGGGAGCTTGAAGAGTTAAAGGGGGAAAAGATACATGTAGAAGCTATTTTTAGATATGGTTATAAACTCATGAGCAGTTCTACCTAGAGAAGTCAATCTTTCACGCAAAATAAAGTTATCAAAGACTAGGAGGAGAAAAATTAGAAGGGACCTGTTTGCTGAAGTGTTTTAAAGAGTTTCCTTCATTTCATCATCTTTCTCACCTGACTCTGCATCTCTGCCTTTCTTCTTTTCCATTGTCTATTTTCCCTTCTTTATTCTTTGTTCAACTCCCTCATGTCCTCCCATTGTCATCACTGATCTTAATAGCTTACACTGGAAGCTGCGGGAAACACAAAAAAGCATTTTGTTCTCAAGCTGAAAAAGGTGGGTGATCTAATTTCCAGATTAGTCTCCATGCTTAATTTAATAGGATTTTAATAATACCATGTAGAGATGTTGTCCATAAATGACTTTCACATGTAAGAAAGTAAATTATCTGATGAGTAGATCTAAAAGTAAATACCTTGATAGTTAAGGAATCTGAGTTTTAAAATCAGATTTACTTTCAGGTAGAAATCCTGCAGCTTCCCCATCCTTCTTACTTTGTTGTCTTCTCATGTTGGAACTGATCTGGACTGCAGGGCTGGGAATTGCCCTTGTTGGGTGAGTCTGTGGGATCTGCCCAGTAGTTGACAGGCTGGCAGGATGTTGAGACTCTGGCACTCATTTTGGTGCCTCCTGGCAGGGTCAAGGGATTTGTGCAGGAGGAACAGAACAGAGAGGTCCCCAAACATGGTGTGTGGGAGGGCGGGCATGTCTGTGTGAATGTGTAGCTGGCTTGGACAGCCTTGCCTACTGTCCTCACTGGAATATGGTGCATCCTTTATACTCTAAGGTACAAAGTGTATACTCACATACCCCCATGGTACTGCTCATTCTTTCTGATTTTTTAAATAGACGATACAGTAAAAATCTCAGCTAAACAGAACAGCTGCTGGTTAGAAAACTTAACTTTAGGAAAAATCTTACTTATATTATTTCTAAAATATACAAGACAGTGTTATGTTGGTAGATGCTTTATAACTAGCTATCTAGCAGGAAAACAGCCTTATTCCTGCATTTCAACAGTGTGGTGTGAATGCTTTTATTATGGCATATCTCAAATTACTAAAGTGAATGTAATACTGCTTCCCTTGATAGCAGGATGATAGCAAGGGGTCCACCCTGGTTCACAACACATCAAATGCTGGTTCTACCAGACTTCTGGAAAAATCTTATATAATCACTATTGTTAGAGAGATGCGGAAATTCAGCTATTGAGTTGTACATCCTCAATGTTTCTCTTCTTACCATGGTCCAGAAGTAAATCTACATCCCCATGATTTTCTTCTTCCCCATGGAAAAGAAATGTAAAATGCCACATATCACTTAAAAGGTTTTTTTTCTTACAAAAACTAAGAAGACAAAAACCACAAACAAAGGCATTATCCCTCACTCCCGTCAACACACCTAAAACTCGTCTATTTCACCTTACCAATTTGAAGTCATGCAATGGTAGAACTTGCTAAAGCTTCTGCTTTTTTGCTTATACTGTGTTCCATGGCACTCTGGTTTTACACTGTTTTGCAGAATTATCATCACTGAAGTTGCTTAAACATAAATGACTCTCAAGGAAAATTGCAACACAGGGATTTGGGCAGCCAATAATCCAGGCAGTCTGTAAAAGTTTCTAGGCTTCCTACTATTTATTGATGGATATATTTATTTTTGTAATATAGTGTAGAATATCAAATATTTTATTTTTATGTTTGTGATTTCCCAAGAATAGATTTGTGTGCTTGTCATAGGACCTTTCCCAGAGTATGACTCACGTACGATGTATGGCCTGTATTTTTATCCCTCTCTTCTTGCATCAAAACATGCTGTCATTTTAGAGAGTTTTGTCATAAACTTGCCATAACTTTGTATATTTGTGTCTTATAGGTATGCTGTGAGTCCTTTAAGATATTTACCAGTTTGTAAATATTTCAGTTTCATCTGGAGTGCAAATATTCCAGGAGAACATTGAACCAATACACTCTCATGTCAATCCACAAGCTGACTCTGTCATTTGATTCTGAGAGTCAGGTGCTGTCCAGTTGTGAGGGGGACAGAACTGCTCCTCAACCAATGACATTTGAGTATCTAATTGGATCCTTTCATTCCCTCCCCTACTCCCAAAGAAGATGCTCTTTCTGAATGTAGCTTAAGAAATCCAACTGGGTAATTCTATTTGCAATTGGATCTATTCATGTAAAAAAGATGTTAATGTTGTGATTCTTGAAAAAGTGAGACTCAGTGTGTCAATCGTTTCTGCCAAGTGTAACTCTTGGTCTGAGAAATGATGAGAAAGGACTTTTCTCAGGGCCATTGCTGTTGTACTATTCCTTGTGGTTTATAATCTTTAAGTAAAAGCTATTCTCATTTAAAAGCTTTTTGTTTTACTTCTTACTGGATCCATCAATTGACTGTAAGGCTCAATGGTGTTATGGCAAATTTGGCACTTATCTGTAACATATAAAGGATGTTGCTCTGTTTGATGAATTGTGGACCTTTTCACAGTCACTAAGCCCTTTGCAGCTTTGTAAGCTTCTGAATGGCATATGGCAGGAAAGGAAATGTCACTATGATTTTGTGCATTTTCTTATCTCCAAACATGGAGATTTGACTTCATGGATTGTACAATAAGAGCAAAATAAAAGGTTTCTGCATGTGGATATGTATTGGTCTGTTAATAACTCCAGGCAGAGAATGGCCGCTTGTTGTTATCAGCATGCTTCTATTACACACAAACACAGGCTTTGCCATGGGCAGGCAGATGGGTGAGAGCCCACGAAAGGTGTCCCACAGGTGTGAGAAACCAGTAAATTAGCACGAGCACATTCACGTCCTTGGGTGAAGCCTGTTCATCATCTGTGTTCAAATTGATGTGGTAATTGATAGACTGAAGACAGATGTAAATATTTTACACTGTGTTCATAAGTCAAATATGTGTGTTTAGTCATCTTGTGAAATAAAATGGAAAAATTATTTTGGTGATAATGATTTGCAGCTCATTTTTTTTCTTGAGATGAAATCTTTTTAGTATCTGCTCCTATTTTTTTTTTTTTTTGCATTTCCCCTTCTTAGTTTATCCAGAGGGAATAAACTTGCCCTCTACATTTGGAGGGAGCAATGCATTATTTTGGGCTTCTAAGTAGTCTCACCAGAGAATGATACTGTCTTCATGTGGTTCTCCCATTCAATATAACTTCACATAACTCCCACAAATGCCAGAGATACACAATATCAAAAACAAAAGTCACTCTTTTCTGTCAATGGGAAATATTTCTTGTTTGACCGCTGTATGGGACCTGATAAAGAGAAATTACTTTGGGGAAAACATCAGGTGAAATTTCACTGTTGTTTAATTATTACGCCTCTCAGAATGCCAGGCATCCAAAGTCCTCTTTTAACAGTCACCCCTGTACTCTCATGGGCCACCGGAGAGCTTGTTCTCTCTAAGAATATCAGTGACAGCAAGGATGCTCACTATTTTCTGAAGGAAACTTACTCTATTTTCAGTACAACTGCCTTGGCTGTGCTCCTCTTAACAAACCCTGGATAATTTTCACCAAAGTCACTGCAGAGGTGGTAAATAGACACACAATGTTCAAGTTCCTCTTCCAACTCTCTAGGAAAATTTCTTCTTGTATCTCTCCTAACTTTCCAGTTTGTAACTCTTAGGATCTCACAGGTACAGGTAACCCACTGCTCCATCTCCCTACAGCCCCTCTGGTGTGCAGGTGGTGCTTCTGGCCACCAGCACACATCCTCTGCAGTTTTGTTGGCACAATTCTACTGCATCCCCAAATTCGCACATTGGACACACAAGTTCATTTTCCAGTGGTGGTTGGAGGAGGTGTGACCTTTAGGGAGTAATTGGATTAGTCCACTCATAGATTAATGGGTTAGATGAAATGGCTTCATTATAAAAGCGGATTCTCTGGCTTTCTTGCTTCCTATGGCTCTGGGATGCCCTGTACAGGGCTGTTATGCCAGAAATGTTTAACTGGATCTTGGCATTTTGCTCTTGGCCTTCCCAGCCTCTAGAACTGTGAGCTAAACACTGCAATGCCCCATCAATTACCCAGTCTCCAGTGTTTTGTTACAGCAACAGAAGACCAAAAGTGTATTTGGGTGCTGGGTGGGCACAGCAGGCTCTCTTCACTCTCTGGACACAGATAGGAGGGCAACATGTGGCAGGGCCAGTTACCTGAAGAGTGACTTGCCTGACTGACAGGGTTTGCTGCCTATTCTAAAATGAAAATTCAGTCCTTTGGCAGAATATAAAGTTGAAGTAT